TCATACGATTATCTGCAAAATCTGATAAGTTATTAGGCAAGTCTGTTTATATACTGGAGCAATTTGATGAGACTGATTCCTATTAAAGTGAAAAGATTAGTCATCTAGATGGTTTTATAATACACTCCCAAAGGTCAGATTTACTCTGGAACTAGAACAGTCAGCCTTCTGATATGAATGAAGAAGGTTATAGAACGAGATTTTGAACTAGTAGGGCAAAAGGTGCAGAGAGCATTTTGCAATTTGCAGCTAGATTAAGTAGTTATTTCGACCAATGGGTAGAGCTGTCTGGAGTTGATAGGAAGTTTGAAGGAGCTAAGGACTTAATGATGAGAGATCAGTTGATGAGTACTTTTCTTAATGAATTGTCTATTTTCATAGGAGAAAGGTCACCGAGGTCAGTTGAAGAAATGGCTGACTTAGCTGATAAGTTTAGAGATGCATGTAGACAGACAAGTGGTAAAAATATGAAATCTAGCCAGTTCCAATGTGGTAGTCAGAAATGTCAGTTCTGAAGCACAGGCCAGAAAAGTAAATGACAGGGTCGATTTGGTCAGTATAAGCCAAAGTCAGGCTGTTATATTTGTGGTGATCCAAGTCACTCTGCTGTCAGTTGTCCTAAGCATTATAAAAGTTCCAAGCCTCAGGTTAAGTCAGCTGCGATGTTGACATGTGATTAGAATAGTAATGATTCACAGGAAATCAGTGCTACTTGTGTAGTTCATGAAGTCACAGATGCATGTAGGCATCCATGTTTACAGGGATGAGATAGAGTTGCGTGAATGTGGCCATGAGCTGCCAATTATTAGTGTTGCCAGTGTTGCAATAGGTAATAGTATGGTGAGTGGTATGCCTGTTGTTCAAGGCCGTATTGGTAGTACTGAGGTAGAGGTTTTTCGTGATAGTGGGTGTAGCTCGGTTGTAGTACTTAGAGAGTTTGTAGAGGATAGTCAATTGACTGGGGAGAGTCGTACCTGTGTAATGATGGATGGTACATGTCGGAAAGCCCCAGTAGCTAGACTATATATAGATACACCCTACTATATTGGTGAGGTCGAGGCATTGTGTATGAGACCCCAGTGTATGATCTTATTGTTGGTAATATTAGTGGAGCTAGGGAGCCCAAGGATCCTGATCTTGGTTGGAAGCTAGGTTTAGCTCATGAGGTAGGGCATAGTGAGGTTAGTTTCCCTTAGGTGGTGAAAATCGTACTCCTTTGGGTGATGGGACTAGTATGCCCCCTGGTGGTAAAGGTTGTTGTCCTTCGGGTATTGAGACTAGTCGTCCCTCAGGTAATGAAGGTTGTACATCGACTAGTAGTCAGGCTAGTGTGCCCCATACTGATGAAGGTTGTTCTCAAGGTGTTGAGATAAAAGAGCCTTCAGTTAGTGGGAGTGGTTGTGAACCCCCCATTGATTCCAGTCAGGATGATAGTGTTGATGTTGTACAGGTGGTACAGACTAGGGCTCAGAAGTTAGCTGAGAAAAAAAAAACATTATGTAGGCTTAAAGTTCCTGGGTGTAAGTAGTTGCATAGTAAGGTTGATATTAATGGTGGTAAGAAACGTATTACAGTGGATGCAGTGCGAGAGGCACAGCAGTCTGATTCCATTTTAGAGCATGCTTGGAAGTTAGTGAGTACAGGTGAGGAGTTGATCATAGGTCGTAGCAATTGGGCAAGGTTTGTGATGAAATAAGGGGCTGATGTATAGAGAGTTTCAGTCACCTCATGTTGATAGAGGATGTGTGTGTTTCCAATTAGTTGTACCATTGTGTTACCGTGATCAAGTACTAGCACTTGCTTGTGAGTCAGTTATGGCAGGTCATCCGGGTGCTAAGAAGACTACATATAGAATAGTAACTCGGTTCTATTGGACTGGGATGCCGGATGATGTTATTAGGTATTGCAGGTCATGCGATATATGTCAGAAGACCACTCCTAAGGGTCGTGTTAGCAAAGTACCATTAGGCGATATGCCCTTGATTGAAGTTCCATTTCAAATGATAGATATGAATCTGATTGTTCCGATCAGTCCAGTGACTGGGAGAGATCAAAGGTACATTTTAACTGTTGTAGACTATACTTCACGATACCCTGAGGCTGTAGCGTTAAAAGAAATTTACTTCAGAAGTAGTTGCTGATGCCTTAGTATATATAGTCGGGTTGATGTACCCAAAGACATTTTAACTGATTTAGGGACACAGTTTGCATCTGACATTATGAAGGAAGAGAGCAGAGTGTTGTCTATCAAACAATTAGTACTCCATATTATTACTACTCCATATCACCCAGCATGTAATGGTTTGGTTGAGCGGTTTAATGCTACTTTGAAAAGTATGTTGAAACGCATGTGTCAAGAACGGCCCAAGGATTGGGATAGGTATCTTGACCCAGTACTGTTTGCCTATAGACAAGCTCCTCAAGAGAGTTTAGGGTTTAGTTTAGGCCCAATGATGATTGTAAGAGAGTTGTGGACAAAGGAGGCAACTACACCACAGGTTAAATCTACATACCAATATGTCCTGGATTTGCGAAATCGCCTTGAAGAGACATGTAAATTGACTCAAGCTGAGTTAGCTAAGGCAAAGGTTAGATTCAAAAAGTAATATGATAGGAACGTCAGGAATAGGAAGCTCCAACCTGGTGACAAAGAGTTAGTGTCACTTCCCACTGACTATAATAAGTTGTTAATGCAATGGCAGGGACCATATGTAATCAACATCCTCTATTGACACCCTCTATATTTTCTATATATATATTTTCATACATATTTTGTAATATAAATTTATTTCTTGTCTATAAATCATTTGTATGATTGTAATGGGCCGGAGGACATTATACAATTAATAAAATTATTATTATTATATATGTAATTAAGAAGAGGGTGGGTATGATGGATTACAGAATGGATGTGAAAGGCAAGGTGAAAATTTATCATGCTAACTTGTTGAAAGCATATTATGAAAGAGACAAACGGAATAACAAGAAAGTGGTTGAGGGTGTGATGAACTGTGTGTGCACTGCAGTTGTTGAATATGATAGTGACACAATACTGTATGACAGTGGTGAATTGAAGTCTGGAAGGACAGTTGGAATCTACCAGGTGTGCTTGTGATTTACATAACAAAGGGTGTTTACAACTTTGGAAGGACAATTGGAAACTACCATGTGTGCTTTATTTGAATAACAAAGGATGTTTACGATCTACTGAGTTGTCTACATAACACTGCTTTTAGCAAGATCACATTCTGATTGGTTAATGTGCAAAACCCAGGTGGTGTCCCTGAATATTGGCCATTTATGCCTATAAATTGGACAGACTGAGGACAGTTGGGGTTCATCATTTCAACTTAGTATCCTGTGTGTTGCTGCTACGATCGTATGAGACAAATGATACAGGCTACAACCATCATTCTGTGAGACTTGTATAAACTGCTCTGCGATCTTCTGCTTTTAGCGGTGCCCTCCAGAATAACAGCGTTCCTCTGCAAGCATGACTCCTGTATTTCTTCGTTGTTGTGTGGCAG